TGAGTAAAAATGAGTTAAATGCCAGAAAGAAGGTAGCAAAATAAGCGAGACCTACTTAATATACTCACAAGAAGGGAAGGATTCTGCCAGATTTTTTTCCATCACTATTAATGCCTATATTTGAATACACTTTGACAATTCATCAAATTAACAATAGTTATTTTTCGTATATATGCAGAGTTTCGAGATTACCAGTAATTCTGTCATATTAGATGTATTCACCCTATTTCGTTTAACGTGATGAGGGAAAGTTAGTAAACTTTTCCCACGATGATATGAGTAGAGCTGACGTTTCCAATGAATTTCACATAGCTTTGCCTTCCCAAATGGTGGACTGCAGTTTCGACCTCGCATAAATCGTATCAACACCCTCAGCGGGATTCGAACCATGATACGTTAACCACTACTTCACATTGCCACGAATGCCCTTGGGCAACAGGGAAGGTATAAATTTCAAAGAGGGTCAGGCATTTTCCATATCACATTCTGCGTCGGCATTTTCGATGAAGCAAACTTATATTTGCTATAGCAATCGGCGAAATTACTTTTTTCGTTACTTAGTAGGTTCTCAAAACTACCAATAAATCAGAGAGTGGTGGTGGTAGGGTGAATTCAACTCATATAACAATACGTGTCCGGCATTATGCAGTTGTAATGATGGCTGAAAAAAGCCCATTCATCTCTAATGACTAAAGACGGGTTGTACGCTACATTACAATTACTAGGAGCTTTCACTGTTGATTGCATATACACAGACACATAAATGTGGACGGTTCTAGGTCTATATATGGTATAGATTATTCAAAATGAATAAGTTTGGAATATAAATAGGTATTTATCTTCTGTTCGAAAGTGAGAATCTAATATTTTGTATAGCTCTCCTTTTAGGCTGATAATCCAAGTCTGAATCTGTGACATCCCTTCGTTGAAATTATCCCACCCTCAAAGTCGTAATAACTGGATTTCGGGTAAGGGCTGTAGTGAGAAGGTCAACTACTTAATTTGCAATTTTTAGGAGAATGAGCGTTTATCGAAGCCGGTCAGTAATTGATAAATAAAATCTTTCACCACTCTAGCCCCCCTAAGGTGATTTAAAGTGAAATTTATTATTATAAAATTAGATATCGTGATGCAATTTAATTTCGCTTACTCTTGCCTCCCATTCTTGAAAAGCATTATATATATACATATATATATATATATATATGCTTATTATTATTATAAATATAATTTCATGTACATAAGGCTTGTCAAAAATTGGAGGCAGGACTAAGCGAAATTCAATGGCACCGTGAGGCTACAAATTTAATGATAAGGAGCGATGAAAGTTTTTATTCAATGTCAATGATAGCCTCGAAATATGCTCATTTTATCTGACCTTGGTATTTAAGTAGTGTCTATCCTCACTATGGATCTCAACCGGAATCCAGTCAACTCGGCCCTACGGATGGTATAAGATTTGGGTTCTGTGCCTAAAGCGAGAGCTCAATAGAACATTGGCTACTCACTTTTGACGGTGCCTGAAAACTGCGGAGCGAACGAATTGGATTAATTGAGGGCCAGTTTTACAACAATCATCACATATCCCTAATATTCGCAAGGGACCAACCGACGTGTACCTAGTCTGCATGCGAGCTGATGAAATGAGACCTTCTGCCTGCGCGCCAGAGCAATATTCGGGGCTGAAATGACCACAAAACTTGCCAACACACCGAAGTTGGTACCTTTCCCTAAAGGCTTTGCGATGATTCCCAATCCACTAGACCCTAACGAGACTATTGGTGTAGAAACCCAATGCATCCCAACGCCAAGATTGGTAAAAGAAACTGTTCTCGGTTGCGCATGTTTTTGGTAAGACAAGGATAGGTTTAAACGTTTGAGGAGCGATACCGGTTGCTTAGGCCTCATAATAGGTCTAAAACAGGCCTCCTTAAATTGGAGGCCGTCTGGTCACTGGCCTAAAGCTAACACTAAAATTAGTAGCGGATCAATCAACCTGAACTGGCGACCATGGATTCCGTGATTGGCTCCACGCAACAGCTAAAGAGTCTCCGATCGCGGTGGAGCCAGCACGTCTGACAAGCGACTAACGTCCAGCCAGTAATTGCTGCACCAAAAGCCTACAAGAATCTGAACCAATTGAGCATGCAAGAAATCCTGTCCACCAGACGGTGCTGGCCGTGGTGGTGCCCCAATCTCACCGGCCACGGCCACAATACTTGTCTCGACCAGGCCCTCATTGGGTGGACAAGAACTAGAGTTCACACATGTGGTTCAGTGGGATTCAGGGTCTGATTGTTGAGAACTTGCCATGGCCAATTGGGTAGAAGGTCTCACGGTACCAGTGAACATCGAATCGCATGCATATTTTAACTAGACCCGCCGTCGCATCATCACTTCAAGCGCGATTCGAAGCCAAGTAGTACTCATCCATTTATAGACGGACTGATGATCACAATCATTTCTGTATATCCTAAATCATGACGTGGATCACGCAGGATCAGCTGTCCAACTGACCGTCTTTGCATCGCGACAAACGATTCCAGCCACTCGAGTTCGTATTCAAGGTCTACTCGAATAGGCTGGCAGCACAGCCCCAGTCGGCCGCGAACCGAGATGCCATAGCTTGACAGAGCAATAACAATGGCGGTTGTTAGGAGGTGTTGAGCTCACCTCCATTTCGAGGGAAAGTGTTGGGTGAAGACATTCGAAGGTCCTTTCCACCAGAAGATGAACGAGACAATCTCGTTCGATTCCGGTGAAAAGGTGCTGAGCTTTCGTCCGTCACATGACGAACAGCATCAGAGCAAGGTATCATCGTCACAACCGAATTCAAGCTAACGAGTCAAGAAAACGCACCGGCAGATCCCTAAAAACACGATATCTGGCCTCTTTGATTAGGCATAAAGTGATTTGGTTAGTTACGGTCATATGTCAACTTCGATGCCTGTGAGTGTGTCTGTCTGTGTATGTGTATGCGCCTGTTTGTATTCGCTTATGCACGAAACCCGCAGTGATGGTTCAAAGTAATTGGGATTACTTCCATTTCGAGTAGAAGTGTTGGGTGAAGAGATTCGAAGGTCGGTTCCACCAGA